ATGGGAACACATATTAGATTAAGGGAGATGAATTGTTCGGACTAAGAATTGTAATCATCTATTATCATATCTATATACAACAATATTTATAAATTAAATAGAAAATAAAATCAATGAATAAGTGAAGTACCTTTGATATAGACAGGTGTACTTTCCAAAATGAGATGTATTGATCTTCTTATGAATGAAGAGTAATAAACTGATTGGAAATGCTATATATTTAGTCTCTGAAAGTACAAAATGTAAAGAAGGGCATACATGGACAGAACAATTAGTTGATTGTGACCACAAATGAAAAAAAAAACATTTTCCTTCACCTCCAAGGCTTTAAAAGAAATATAGATATTTTGTAAAGAACGTCTAAAGACCGTTAGTTCCCTCTAGGTTTTCCTTGGGAGGGTTTTGTTCTAGTCTCCTTGACTAGGTTTTCTTGATTTTCCAAGATTTTTCTCGATTTTGGGTCGAGATTGTGTGATTTTGATTGTTTTCTTTTGTGGTTTCATAATTAATACCAATTATGGGTGATAAAAATAAAGTGCTATCAAATCCTGGAGTCGAAGGAATTGCTCTTTCTACGCTGGAGAATAAAGATCGAGAGAATTCAAATAACAATATTCCTAAAGAAGGTGTGAATGATGCAATTGAATGGGACGTAGATGGAGAGGATGACGATGATGCGAGGGTTGAACTTGCTCTAGTTGGGAAGATTTGGACTGATAGAAACATAAATTCGAATGCCTTTATCGCTACGATGAAATCAGTCTGGCAACCAAGACACGGAGTAGACATCACGAGCATTGACAAAAATTTATTCCTGTTCCAGTTCTATCATTGGCGTGACAAGAATAGGGTTCTTGAAGGTCAACCATGGCATTTTGACAAGCATGCTTTGATCCTTGGCGAGACTGCTGATTCGGTAAAGCCCACTAACATTCAACTCTTTCATTTGCCTATGTGGATTAGAGTGTACAACCTTCCTCTCAAGGGTCGGTTAAATTTAAGCAATGTCGAGAAAATTGGTAACAAGTTAGGGGTTTTTGTGAAACTAGACAATGATGCTAGAGTTGGTATTGATAAGTCGATTCGCATTCGAGTTCTTGTTGATGTAAGAAAACCGTTAGCAAAGCATGTAAAATTAAAGTTAAGAGGTGGTTTAGAAGAACTTTTCGAGGTAAAATATGAGAGACCTCCTCTGTTTTGTTTCTGTTGTGGATTGATGGGACACGGGATGAAAGACTGCGAGGTGTATAGGGAAACTGAGAATCCTGTCATCTCTTATGGGGCGTGGATGAAAGCTTCACCATGGAAGTCTGCTGTAGGTGGGAATGAGGAAGGGGCAGGGGTGGATAATCAGAAAACTGCTCGTGCTTTGTTTGTAACAAAACCGAAGAAACAAGCTCCCAATCCAGCTGTGTCTGCGTGTGTTCAGGAGAAGGCGAAGGTGCTTGGTGAAGTGGGACTCAACAGCTCACGCAATAAAGGAGATGGGGCTGATTGTGGGGCGCATGATGAGAGGAGTAATAATGAGCTCTTTGTTTTCGGGTCTAGCAATTTGGAGACGGGGAACAAAGAAGTGAGTGCCACTTTAGTAGAGTATGTGAAAGGGGATGGAAAGGGGCAAAAGGTTGGAAAAGAATGCCGAGAAATCATGATCATATTATGTTAACTGGTGAAAAAAGAAGTGTAGGAGAGCTTTTGGTGGAGAGTGAAGATAGTACGAGGGGTGGGGTGGAAAAGGAGAAAAAACAGAAAGTGTTACCTATTTCTACTGGAAGTGTGGCGGGCCCCACCAATAGGGCTCTCGGTGCTAAATGAGCTACATCCTTTCTTGGAATTGCAAAGATTTGGGGAGCACCGCTACAATCAACGCATTGAAACGTATTGTGTTTCTTGAAAGCCCCCAAATGGTGTTCCTTATGGAAACAAAGTTGAAGAAGTTTGAGATGGAAAAAATTAAATATAAATTAAAATTTAATTTTTTCTTTATTGTGGAATGTAATGGGGAAGGCAGAAGAAGGAAGGATGGGTTGGCACTTTTGTGGAATAATAACAGTGATGTTAATATAAGGTCTTACTCCTTACATCATATAGATGCTTTGGTGAGGTCGTCTCTTCATGGTGTGTGGCGGTTCTCAGGTGTTTATGGACATCCCGAAGATGAAAATAAATACAAAACGGGGCTGCTTCTTGAATCGTTGAAGGAGGTGAATGATAACCCGTGGCTTTGTGGAGGTGATTGGAATTTGATGCTTTATTCGGGTGAGAAGCAAGGTGGGAGAGCTTTTAATGTGGAGGAAGCCGACATCTTAAGGGCTGTTGTGAGTCACTGTCAATTGGAGGATCTTGGTTTCATTGGGCACCCTTTTACTTGGTCGAACAATAGGGGAGGAGAGGAGAACATCCAAGAACGTCTTGATCGTTTCCTTGCAAACCGAGCTTGGAGAGACTTTTTCCAAGGATCTTTTGTCACACATTTATCGAAGAGAAAGTCTGACCACCTCCCTATTCTCCTTTGTATCAAAGAGGCTACTCCATCCCAGAAGAAAAAAAAAAAGAAGAAGAGATTGTACCGATTTGAGGAAATGTGGCTCCGGGATGAAAATTGTGCTGATATTGTTTCCGAGGCTTGGGATTATGGAGGTGACCTGTGCTCCAAAATCGCCTTTACTTCCACAAGGTTGAGTGCGTGGAGTAGGGAAAAATTTGGGGATTTTGTGAAAGAGTTAAATGCATGCAAGGCACAAATGAAAGTTCTCACGGGAGAAGTACAATCAACGGAGGTGGTAGCTCAAATGAGGGCTTTAGATGATCGAATGGATGAGCTGGAAAGGAGAGAGGAGATGTACTGGAAACAGAGGAGTAGGCAAGATTGGCTTAAGCATGGTGACAAAAACACTTCTTTTTTCATCATAAAGCCAAGCAGAGAGAAATTAGGAACAACATTGTATGTGTGAAGGATGTTGCTGGGAACATCTATAAGGAGGAGGAACAAATTGCGGAAACCTTTGTTAAATATTTTGAAGATCTTTTTGCTACGAATAGTAATATTGAGGTAGAACCAATGATTGGTAAGGTGAACTCAGTTGTTGATGAGAGACAGTATGCAAGTCTGGTACCCCATTCACGGCAGAAGAGGTTCATACGGCTCTTTTCCAAATGCACCCCACAAAAGCCCCCGGACCCGATGGTATGTCTGCAATATTTTTTCAAAAATTCTGGGATAATGTAGGGAATGATGTAGTTGGGAAAGTGTTAGATATTTTAAACAATAATGGGGATATAGGTTCTATTAATCAGACTCATATTGTTTTAATTCCGAAAAAAAAGAGTGTGAGTCTACTGTTGATTATAGACCTATTAGCTTGTGTAATGTTTTGTATAAGATTGTTACAAAAGTGCTAGCAAACAGATTAAAATTGGTTCTTCCTCACATTATTCATGAGTCGCAGAGTGGATTTGTTCCGGGTAGATTAATTACGGATAATGTGTTAGTGGCTTATGAGTGTTTCCATTACCTCCAGAAGAAAAAAAAGGGCAAAAAGGGTTATCTTGGGCTCAAGTTAGACATGAGTAAGGCTTACGACAGAGTTGAATGTGAATTTCTGGAGAAAATGATGTCAAAGTTGGGAATGCCGGATAATTTTGTGAACTTGGTTATGAAGTGTGTCAGTACTGCCTCCTTTGATGTATTAGTCAATGGTCAGCCATCGTGAACTTGTAAGTCCACCCGGGGATTGCGTCAAGGAGATCCTATTTCTCCATTTTTGTTTATATTATGTGCAGAAGGATTGTCTACATTGCTTAGAGATGCGGAGAATAGGAAGCTTATCCATGGGGTGAAGATTGGTCGACATGTTAAACCAATTTCTCACCTTTTCTTTGCAGATGATAGTCTCCTTTTTGTGAGAGCAACGGAGGAGGAAGTTGAGAGTGTTCTTGGGATTCTTTCTACTTATGAGATTGCATCGGGTCAGAAACTGAATATGGATAAATCAGAGGTGTCCTTTAGCCGAAACATTGATCAAGAACGGAAAAATATGCTTCAGATGAAGTTGTCTTTTAAGGCCGTCGAAGGACATGACAAATATTTGGGTCTACCAACTTACATTGGTGGGTCTAAAAAACAGGTTTTTCAGAATATTCAGGATCGGATTTAGAAAAAACTCAAAGGGTGGAAAGAACAATATTTGTCTCAAGCCGGAAAAGAAGTCTTAATTAAATCCATTGCTCAAGCTATTCCCACGTATGCTATGCAATGCTTTTTGATCCCGACTAGTATCTTAAATGTGGTAGAAAAACTGTGTCGACAATTTTTTTGGGGGCAAAAAAGAGAGGAAAATAAGATATGTTGGGTTGCTTGGGAGAAAATATATGTTCCGAAGAGTCAAGGAGGCCTTGGTTTTAGAAATATGAAGAATTTTAATAAGGCCCTCCTTGCTAAGCAAGCTTGGCGAATTCTCACAAATGAAGATTCTCTTATGGAAAAGGTGTTAAAAGGAAAATACTTTCCTCATACGACCTTTTTGGAGACAAAACTCTGTCCAAATTTGAGCTACACTTGGAGGTCCATTCTTGGGGCTCGTGATGTTCTTTTGAAGGGAGCTAGAAGGAATATTGGTGATGGAGCTTCAGTTCATATCTGGCAGGATTCATGGGTTCCGACGCTCCAAAACTTTAAGGTGGCTTCGACAAAACCAGAGAATGCTTCATGCCCGATGTATGTTAGACAGTTGTGGCACAATAGAAGGTGGGATCCTAATGTTCTCAATGAAATTTTTTCAGAGGTTGAGGTGAGTGCCATTCGAAATATTCCCATTCCTATGTTTGATAGATGTGACTCTTGGACGTGGCATTATGCAAAAGATGGGAGCTTCACAGTGAAGAGTGCTTATAATCTCCTCACTGTTGAACAAATGCGTGATACGACCTCGCCGTTGAATGTCAGCTCTGGGTTTGATTGGAAGATTGTGTGGAATGTGGATGTTCCCTAGAAGATTAAAATGTTTGCGTGGAGAAGCATAAGAGGTGCAATTGCTACTCGTGAGAATCTCGCTAGAAGAGGTATGGAGGTGGATACTAGGTGCCTAATATGTGGGGACGAAATAGAGAGTACTCTGCATATGGTTGCAAAATGTGAAGAAGCTAGGCTGATTTGGTATACCTCACCTTTGCGTTTGAAGGCTGAAAATTATGATGGGAGCAATTTTAGGGAGTGGTGTCTTTCGGTTCATAAGACTTGCAAGGACTTGAGCTGGTGGAGTTTGTTTTGGAGCATTGCTTGGGGAATATGGCTTCGCAGAAATGGCTGGACTTTCTCAAAAAAATTGATGGTTGTGCAGGAGGTTATAGGCAGGGCAGCGAGCCTTATTGGTGAGTTCAATCTCGCAAAAGAAGTGAGCAGCATCAACCCTCCTGCAATGGTGCTTGACGCCACATGGAAACCCCCTCCTCTTGGTATGATAAAGGTTAATTCTGATGCGGCGAAGATCTCCAACTCTGCTGTTGGTTTCGGAGGAGTGATGTGTGACAATGTAGGGGATGTAGTTGTGTCTACATGTTTGAAGATGGAAGGGGCTTTCGAGGTAGACGTGATGGAAGCCATGGCTATGCGTCATGCTCTTCAGATTACGTTAGAGTCGGGCTTCTCGACCATTTGCTTGGAGACAGATTGTCTGAAGCTTTTCTCACATTTGAAGAAGGCAACGATCACTTCTAATGCCTTTGGGGTGATTGTTAATGATATACTTAATCTCTCTCGCTCATGTCAAGTGTGCTCATTCTCTTTTGTGAAGCGTACAGGCAACCAAGTGGCTCATAGCCTAGCTAAGCTATGTAATATTTACTCTGATCTTAGAGTGTGGCTAGAGGATTACCCATATGATGTAACTCAATTTGTTTTGGCCGATTTGAGCCACTTTGTTGCTTAATAAATTTGAGTTCGTTTTCCGTCAAAAAAAAAAAAAAGGCTTTAAAAGGAAATTCTAGAAATCTTATTTGTACTAACTTTTATAGTCAAATTATTGTTAAAACCATCCTATGGGAAAGCCTAAAAAGTAACCTATCCACCTAATATATATATATATATATATATATATATATATATTTATATATATAGGGGAGGGATCCGGTAAGAACCTCTCCTTATATAAGAACCCAATCTTATATAAGAACCCCTCTTTATGTTCTAAACTTTTTTTCGGCTTATGTTCTAAAGTTTTCCTATGTTCTAATTTTTTTTCTGCTTATGTTCTAATTATTTCATATATTCTAAATTATTTTTTCAGCTTACATTCTAAATTTTTTTATATGTTCTAAATTATTTTTTCAACTTATGTTTTAAATTTTTTCCTATATTCTAAATTATTTTTTCAGATTATGTTCTTAATTTTTTCCTATGTTCTAAATTATTTTTCATATGTTCTAAATTTAGCCTATGTTTTAATTTTTTTTTCCTATATTCTATATTATTTTTTCGGCTTATGTTTTAAATTTTTTCCTATGTTCTAAATTATTTTTTCAACTTATGTTTTAAATTTTTTTCCTATATTCTAAATTATTTTTTTCAGTTTATGTTCTAAATTATTTTTCATATGTTTTAAATGTTTGTTTGTTTATGTTCTAAATTTTTTTTTTCTATGTTCTAAATAATTTTTTTCAGCATATGTTCTAAATTTTTTCTTATGTTCTAAATTTTTTTTTCAGCTTATGTTCTAAATTTTTTCCTATGTTCTAAATTATTTTTTAGCTTATGTTCTTAATTTTTTCCTATATTCTAAATTATTTTTCATATATTCTAAATGTTTGTTTGTTTAGGTTCTAAATTTTTCATATGTTCTAAATTTTTTTTCCTATATTATACATTTTTTTTCCTTATGTTCTAAATTTTTTTTTCAGCTTATGTTTTAAATTTTTTTCTATGTTCTAAATTTTTTTTTCAGCTTACGTTCTAAATTTTTTCTTATGTTTTAAAAGTTGGTTTGCTTATGTTCTAAATTTTCCTATAATCTAAATTTTTTTCCTAAATTCTAAAGTTTTTCTTATGTTCTAAATTTTTTCCTATATTTTAAATTATTTTTTCAGCTTATGTTTTAAATTTTTTTTCTATGTTCGAAATTATTTTTTCAATTTATGTTCTAAATTTTTTCCTATGTTCTAAATTATTTTTCATATGTTTGTTTGTTTATGTTCTAAATTTTTCCTATGTAGTAATTTTTTTTTCCTATATTCTATATTATTTTTTCAGCTTATGTTCTAAATTTTTTCCTATGTTTTAAATTATTTTTTCAGCTTATGTTCTAAATTTTTTCCTATGTTCTAGATATTTGTTTTCTTATGCTTTAAATTCTTCTTCTTGTTTTTTTTTTGTTGTTGTAAATAGGTGCGTAGTCCTGGAGTTGATATAAATATCCTATGTGTTGCCCCTAGACATGCTACGCGAGAGGTAAGATATAACTTTTGTCAGCTTCTTTACTTTTTCCATTATTTTTTGCTACTTTAGTGCCCCTTAACTTGTTATATTTTACTGGATATAGGAAGATTTCTTCGAAGAACTCCATTAGATGCTTTCTGAGATGTCTGAGGTTACAAAGTTGCACCCTGTGCCTGATGCTTTTGTCCCGGTGATGAGATTTAAGTTCAATGGGGTGTCCATAGATCTTCTTTATGCAAAATTGTCGCATTTGAGTTTCTACATTGCATGTGATTGTTTTCCTCGGCTTCTATGGGAGGGTGTTGATTTATATTAAAAACCTATTAGCTCAAGTGGTAGAGCACTATGCAAATGCATAGTTGATATAGGTTCGAATCCTACATAGGCAATATTTATAAATAACTATATAAGAAAAACTTTAGAAAATAGGTAGTAAAAGTTTAGAACATAAAAAAAAAAAAAAAAAAAAAAAAAAAAAAAAAACTAAAAAAAACTTTAGAACATAAGTAGACTGAATTTAGAACATAGGCAGAAGAATTTTGAACATAGGAAAGAATATTTTAAACATAGGAAATAAAAACCGTTAGAACATAGGTAGAAAAAATTTAGAATATAGGAAAAAATTAGAACATAGGTTGAAAAAATTTAGAACACAGGAAAAAAAAACTTTAGAACATAAGTAGACTAAATTTAGAACATAGAAAAAAAAAAATTTTGAACATAGATAAAAGAATATTTAGAATATAGGTAAAAGAATATTTAGAACGTAAACAAAAAAAAAAGAAACTTTAGAACATAGGTAGTAAAATTTAGAACTTAGGAAAAAAAAACTTTAGAACATAAGTAGACTGAATTTAGATCATAGGCAAAAGAATTTAGAACATAGGTAAAAGAATATTTAGAACATAAGAAGAAGAAAAAAAACTTTAGAACATAGGTTGGAAAAATTTAGAACATAGAAAAAAAAAAAAAAAAAAAAAAAAAAAAAAAAAAAAAAAAAAACTTTAGTATATAAGTAGACTAAATTTGGAACATAGAAAAAAAAAATTAGAAAATAGGTAGACTAGATTTAGAACATAAGAGTAGGCAAAAAAATTTAAAACATAAAAAAAGAATTACAGAAATGCCATTACTAAAGGATGGTTTTAGATGGTTGGATCAAAACTAATAAATGGTTGAGATTGGTTATATAAGATTGAGTTTTTATATAGAGGAGGGTTCTTACATGAGCCTTCCTCTATATATATATATATATATACTACCTCCGTTTATTTTTATGTGCAACTTTGAGTGATAATACGGTTCACGAGGCAAAAGATTGAAGAGTAAATATTAGGAGAAGTTAGTGGGTTTAATTAAAAAGCAAGGAGAGAGAAAGTGTGGACCACACTTTTTGTTTGTGGTGGGAAAGTTTGGCAGAAAAAACCAAAGCATAATTTCCCACCCAAAACCCACCGAAAATTTGGGGTGAAATTTTACTTTCCCCCTCCTTTTTTAAAAATTTCATACCAAAGTCAAATTTTCCCAAAAAATTTAGGAGGCTATAAATACAGCCATGCCCTCATTTAATGTCACCATTCATTCAAGCATTTAAGGAGGGAATAAATCATCCTCCATTGTCAGGCATTAATTACAATCAACATTGTTTAAAGGTGGGTGAAACATTCCACCAAAAACACAGTTTCATCCACAAAAGCTTATCAAATCCTAGGTTAGAATAATTACACACTAACTACTCCTTAAAACTTTACAAAAAACAGGGGTGCTCTGTTGTCCTTCATGCACAGGTGGGTGTAGTCTTCATCTTCAACCCACACAACTCAGCAGGGCCCTGACTTCATCCTCCCTGTGCTGGAAAAGAGGAATGGCAGAAATTGATGACTCTGTTTTTTTTGATATTGAACACATTCTCAATGAAGAAGAGCTAGCAGAGCTGTGGTTCGAGGAAGAAGAAGAAATGCAGGATGCAGGAATATGGGAGTACAACTCAGAAGATGAAATGCAGGATGGCAACCAAGAAGAACAGCAACAGCAGCCACAGACAGAAACTAATGTTCTCAACACACAAATGCAACAGCAAGGTCATGAAGGGACTGGTCTTGTATGCAGAAAACAATTAACTTTGCAGCAAAGAAGAAAGATTGTTGATGCAATTTTGCTGAAAATGAGCAATGGGACTTTACCAAGGGGTCACATGAAGCAATTAGCATCTGAATTTAATGTCCACAAATCAACAATCACAAGAATCTTTTCAGACATAAAAAAACAGCTGGCAACAGGGGACTTGATTGATGTCAGGACCAAAAAATTTGGCAAAACAGGGAGAAAGCCAATGGAGATTTCTGATGAAACTCTCCAGTCAGTCCCATTACATTTAAGGCAGACAGAAAGAAGCTATGCAGGAGCATTGAAGATCAGTCTAACTACAGTTCACAATTTGAAGAAAAGAGGCAGGCTAAGAACACACACATGCTGCAACAAACCATTGCTCACATCAGACCACAAGGTTGCCAGACTAAGATGGATTTTGTCACATATAAATCCAATTACAGGGAATGAGGACCCCACATTTGTTGACATGAGGAATGTCATACACTGTGATGAAAAGTGGTTCTACTTGAACCCTGACAAAAGGAGGTTCTACCTACTGCCATGTGAGGAGGATCCCTATATGGCAGTTCAGTCAAGAAGATTCAAACTAAAGGCAATGTTCATGGCAATCATAGGGAAGCCATTATATGGCATAAATGGGGAACTTTTACATGATGGAAAGTATGGCATCTTTCCATTCACTGTCCAGCAAGTAGCACAGAAAGCAAGCAAGAAAAGACCAAGAGGGACCATGGAAACCAAGGCACTCCAGAACATAAACAGAGAAGTAATCAGAGAGATGCTGCTAACAAAGGTTATTCCAGCAATCATATCAAAGTGGCCTGAAGGTCTGCCCAAGGATGTGGTCATCCAATGGGACAATGCAAGGCCACACCAAGTTCCTACAAATGATGAGTTTGTGGCAGCAACAACAGCTAATGGCTTTAACATTCAATTTGTTTTCCAGCCAGCACAGTCTCCTGATTTGAATGTCCTTGACTTAGGGCTATTTAGGTCTATACAATCATTGCAATATCAGTCTTTTCCTAGGGACTTAGAGGAGCTAATTCAAAAGGTCAAACAGTCTTATGACACTTTCAACCCTCATGTAAACAAGTACATCTGGGTTACATTGCAAAAGTGTATGATTAAGATACTCAAGGCAGAAGGTGGTAACAAGTACAAAATACCACATATGAACAAAAAAAAGCTGGAAAACCTAGGTAGTCTTCCAGATTTGGTAGAGGTTCAGAAAGAGGATGTATTGGAGGCTGTGGAGTACCTAAACACCATGTTTAGGCCAGCAAATCAAGGCACTCAAGAAGACACAGAAGATTTGGAGGTGGATGCAGATTAGGGGAGTCTTTACAACAACCAGACAACACATGGACTGCCACACATAACCACTTATCATAGTAAGTTTTATTGGTTTTTTTTTTTTCCCAAAAACATTTTGAGCAATCCAGTGGTTAGGTGTATTTTGTTGATTACAATTACCCAAACAAGTCAGGCAGTCTGAAGTATAGTCATTAGATTATCATACATATGGTCTTTTGTAAAGTTTTATGTACTAGTATTTTGTACCCACATTTTTAGTTGATTATGAATGACAAAGATAAACAATTTATGTGGGCACTAAATCCATCAGAGGGTTATAATGTTGAATACTACACATATGCACAAGGGTACCTCAACAACAACAACAACTTTCATGTTGATGGAGCAAATCACCTGTGCATATTGAAATTCATTGGAGTCCCTTCATCATGTGGATATGGGTAAGCTAAATAGCATATCAAAGTAGGGGACTCTTTAATAAACAAGAAACAGAAGGCAACATCATGGGACTCCTTTTAAGGGACTGACTAGGCAACAATGAACATGCACAAGACACCAGCCTCATCATTCATCAATCAAGTCCACACAGCCAGCAATAAAGACAACATGCAACCAGATGTATCAACACACACATGCAACCAGCAATAAATCTCCCAGATGTAACATAACCAACAACCCAACATTACACAGCAAACCCTAGTATCCAGCCTACATCAACACAAACATACAAATAAACCCTAACATTTAACATAATCAACAACCCAACAATAAACAACAACGAGTCAAAGTTACCCATAACAGCAAACCCTTAGCAGCCAGAGTAGATCAACACAACCAACACCCCATCATGAAACCACAACCAGTCAAACAATCCCGCAATAAACAGTGAAACCCTAGTTTCAGCCATAGATCCACCGGCACAAAAATTAGGACTCTTTTAAATTTTAAAAAATTTAAAAAAATTAGGAATAGGAATCGTTACGCAAAGGTCAGTGCTCAGCCTCCTCATCAGAGGACAGCACCACGAGGTCGGACTCCGGCAAATCAGGCAACCCGCGCAAACGCCTCATCGCCACCACCGCAGCCTTCCTCTTTCGCCAAAGCTTCGGAGGAGGCCTGGAAACCTTAGATCCGCGCTTGGGGGTGGGGGAGGGCGCAACACTGACCTCAAAATCGGACTCCAGATCTACATCTTTAACCTGAAAATCAATTTTTTTTTTGGCATGGGACTCGCCTTCACCCTCCTCTTTGTTCGTCTTCTCCCCCTCGTCGATATTTTTCAGGACTTCCCCCAAAGCTTTGAAAGTCGTCGAAGAACAGCAACTAGGGCCTTCCTCAGAGTTGTAAAGGCGGCGAGGAAAATCATTGCCCCTGTTGATGTCGTTAATGAGGGACTTGATGAACCGAGCCTCACTCTGTGAATCTGTGCCAATATAGGCGTCAACAAGTGGATCTAGGTCATGTAACGGAATTGTGAAGTCTGGATGCCTCTCGAAAGGGGAGGGAAAGGGGGAAGACATAATTGTGGGACTCTGAATTCTTCAGGAAAAGGGCGAACGAAACGAAGAAGACGAAGAACAGGAACCCTAGAACACGAAGAACAGGAAAACAAAGAAACTGATCTAGGGTTCTATAGAATTCTCTAGATCAGTTTAGAAAAGGTGGTTGGGAAGATGTAGAGTTGTGTCGGTTGGGGGGTAAATTGGAGGGAGTAATTAGGTTAGGTTAATTTAGGTGTGTTAAATTAAGTTAGGGTTTTGGATAATGAGGGGTAAAAGTAAGATGATTAAATTTTTTAAGTGGGGGTAATATAGTAAATTCAAGGGTTTTTATTTACCAAAAACAGAATGAAAAAGGAAAGTTGCACATAATAGTGAACGGACTAAAATGGCAAAAGTTGCACATAAAAATAAACGGAGGTAGTATATATAATGAGAACCTAAGTTATAATGAGAACCTTAGGAACTAATTAGGGTCGTTGGATCTAACTTAGATGCGCTTGATGAGCGGCCTAAATTAATTCACAATCAAGCGCATTATCTGTCATTTCTCTCTGCTCGAGCGCAGCGATTACCCTACTTCCTAGCTACCTCCATTGAAGCAGATTTCAAGCTTTCTCTACTCCATTGAAGCAGATTTCGAGCTTTCTGTACTCCATTGAAGCGGCTTCTGAGGTAAGATGTTTCTTTTCCTCTTTTGAATCACGATTTTCAATTTCACTATCCATGGTTTATCATTATTATTTTATCAATTTAGGATAGTTTATAGTGAAATTCGAGCTTTTGAGGTTATGAATTATTATACGATTAATTTTGTTACTAGAATTTCTAAACACCTAAATCTGAAAGTACTGTCATTCAAATTTATATGAATTTTGGTGAGTTTGCAAACAAAACTATGTGAACTGAGTGAATTCATACTATAAGTTTTTAATAATTGAATTTATATGATTTTTTGCATGTGTTTAGCTTATGATTTGGAGCTCGATTCTAAACACTAGTGAGATTTTCATGTTTGAATTTTTTTTTTTCTATTTTACATTATATTAATTTTGATTATTCATTTATTATTGTTAATTTCTTAATGCACACTAAGTGTTTGATAAAATGCCTCAATGAATCCTATTATTTAATCAATTTTTAAAAAATAGATATATATGGTCCTTTTATGGATGTGGCAGGTGCAATTTTGTTTCTTGTGGTGACAGGAAATTACAAAGGGATGAGTGTTTGAGGTTAATAACTAAATAATCAATGTCCTCTTCTCACTTATGTGTCTTAATCTAGGTCTTTACACTTTGCTTTATTTTCCAATAAGGCAAGAGCAAATATTTTCCCTCTGTGAGCTTGATTTGGTGGCTGGTTTAAAGGTACGCAACCGTAGTTGCTAATTTAAGATATTTACTTCTTATTACTTCACGTACAATATATGTTCTTGTGCTAGGTCTCGTACCTATGTCCATGAAAGTATATATCTCATAAAAGTAAACTCTATCTATCTAAAAAGTAAACTAATCCTCTCTTAAAGTAAGCATATGCTAGCCTAATTTGGGTGTGAGTCGATTTTCAAAATTAATTACAGAAGCTCCCAACTCTTAGTTTCAGGATTGACTTAGATGGGTGGCAGAGAGACTATCAGGGGATAAGATTTCAATGTTTGCAAACTTATGTTGGTCCTCTTGGACTAGCAGGAATATCGTCATTCATGAGCAGTCAACACACGATTCTATAATGCTAGCTACAGGTTTCACCAGATATGTTTATGACTATAATTCATATGCTGCATTGCTGGTAGAGTCTTTACTGAGGTGAAAAGAAGTGATGCATAGTCTATATGAATTTGCTGCTATATTTGAAGGATATGATCTTATTATGATAAAAAATGAATATTGCTTCTTGTAATTTTGTATTTATTTAAGTAGATAGAAGTTGGTTAAAAGTAAATCAATTAGTCTTAAAAGTTTGTTTTTTCTCTTAATTAAAAAGTAGATTGAAAGTTAATAAAAGTAAACCAGTTAGACTCATAAGTTAATGAAAGTCAATGGTGCTAATAATGATTCAAAGTGATATGACATTATGAAATATAAGGGAAAATAATAGTGTTGATAACCAAGAAAGAGCTACCCTTATTGTTAATACAAGGTTGCGGATTAATGAGCCTCAAGACTTCTTGAGCTAGCTTATGGTATCATGTTTCCCTTTCTGCTTTGGTTTGTTGTATAATAGCCTTAGGTTTCGCAAACTGATCAAGCGAAAATTAGGAGGTGATTAAGGCATGAAAAGGCTTTGTATGGGACAGATGTGATTATGTGAAGTTGTTGGAGGTTATACTTATAATGTTAGACTTGTGAGGATGGAAAGGGGTAAAGGACCGGAGATTGAGATGGTTCTCGAGGGAGGTTATGGTGAGCTGAGTTGAGAGAGACAGAGTTGAGATCAGAAGGGAGACAGCTAGTATTATGTTGAAACCATTATCGTTGCAAATTACCCCAGATCAGATGCAAAAATTAAAGCCTCATTGAGAGTGGAAGCAATCTTTTCTAATAGCCTCGTCAGCTGTTGTTGAGACTTAAGAGGATAGGAGGACAAAGAGAAATGACTTTAAATTGTCAGAACAGGTTAGCTGATAGTGTGCAGTTGTGAGTCCTTGGTTTTTTCCATGTAGAAATGCTCTGTTCTTTTCTACTTGCTTGTATCCGTGCTTGTCAGTTGATTACCTGCCTGATTCCGTTCTTTTTCTCAAGTACAGATGCTCTTTCTCTATTCTAAAGAGTAGTATCTATTGCGATTATAGTCTTCATCTTACACATTGTTAATTGATTATGTCGTCTTCAACTACTCGACTTGATAATTGTAAGGACTGTGAATCTATGATGGGTTCCACCACCTGCTTACTTATTACGGCGCCTTTATCAAGGTAAAGTCCTCAATGTTTTTCAAAGGAAAATTTGAGTCAATATACTGCACAATACACCAAGTATTAGTCCAATTAATATACTTTTCAAAGTTGTTAGCTGAATGTAAAAGAATTAAAGAAAAAAAATGTAAGTAGAATTTTCTATTCTTAAGTCCCTAAGATATTGCTAAACTCAAAACCACAAGTCCACAACTATTGGTTCTAATATTACAAAAATGAATCAGATGGATGTTCCTGAGAGAGACTATCAGGGGATGAGATTTCAATGTTTGCAAACTTATGTTGGTCCTCTTGGACTAGCTGGAATAACGTCATTCATGAGCAGTCAACACACGATTCTATAATGCTAGCTACAGGTTTCACCAGGTATGTTTGTGACTATAATTCATATGCTGCATTGCTGGTAGAGTCTTTACTGAGGTGAAAAGAGTGATGCATAGTCTATATGAATTTGCTGCTATATTTGAAGGATATGATCTTATTCTGATAAAAAATGAATATTGTTTCTTGTAATTTTGTATTTCTTAAAGTAGATAGAAGTTTGTTTAAAGTAAATCAATTAGTCTTAAATGTTTGTTTTTTCTCTTGATTAAAAAGTAGATTGAAAGTTAACAAAAGTAAACCAGTTAGACTCATAAGTTAATGAAAGTAAACATAGTTGGAAGACTTATTCTTATTAATATCGAGTATTATGCTTATGCTTATGCTTATGCTTATGATATGTATATGCATGATTCAAGTATATGAATGGAATTGGACTGAGTTAGTGTGGCTGTTAATAGCTCATCTTGGTTTACATTGGGTATAAAAATACAAAAGATGAATAAGGTGGGAAAATGTAGATTTCTATATCAGTTGTCTAAAGTAAATAAAATAGTATTTAAAGTGAATAAAAAAAGACTCTAAAGTAAACCTATTAGCTCAAGTGGTAGAGCACTATACTGATGCATAGAGATGTAGGTTCGATTCCTATATAGGTTCCTCTAAAAGTAAATACAAAACATTCTAAAGTAATTCAAAACATCTCAAAAGTATATTTAAAAAACTAAAATGTAAATCAAATTAGCTCTAAAATATACAAACAATAAATTGGGTTTGGAGGCCTTGACTACCATTAAAACGAAAAACTTCAAAAATGTTGTCATATTTTTTCAAGATTGGCTAAGAATCCACTTCAACTTATGTCTAAAGTAAATAAAATTAGCTTTAAAAAAATTTATGTCTAAAGTAATCAAAAGTAGAGCAAATTATGTCTAAAGTAAATAAAATTAGCTTTAAAAAAATCAAACTTCAAAAACAGTATATAGCAACAATATGAATCGACTCTTCCAAAGTACCATTACATAGTATTTCATAGTAAGAAAGAGTAAGAGAAACTTGTTACACATGACCTCTTACATCGCACTTTCAAGTCATCCTCTTATATATCTCAAGTCATCGCTAGCATGGGCAGCTTGGCATACTAGAAACGAGGCTATTTTTGATGGAAATTCTGGAATTGATGGGGCTAGACTGGCTGTGGGTTTTGCTAATTATTGCAGAGATTATAGAGAGTATAATACAAAGGTTCATGGGCTTGTTTCTGCTCCTGCTGTTTGCTCGTCTGCAGGGTGGATTCCACCAACTCATAGCTGTCTCAAGGTGAATGTTGATGCTTTTGTCCCGGGGTCTGCTGGTGTGTGCTTTGGTGTGGTAATTAGAGATGAATTTGTGAAGCTACTGTTGATTGTGGCCAAGAAGACAAACTGTAGGTGGAGCCCAAAACTAGCAGAGGCAGCAGCTGCTAGATATGGGATTGAGCTTGCTAGAAGGTAGGGGTATAGCAAGGTGATCTTGGAGTGTGATGCAATAGAAGTTGTAAGGGCTGTCAAGTTGAAGCAAGAGAGAGCTGCTCCTATTTTTCACTTCTTTGAAGATATTTCTAAAATGTGTATGAATTTTGTCTACTTTAATTGTGTTAATGTTAAACGAGCGGGAAATACTCTAGCGCATCTAGCGGCTAGGTGGGATAAGAACTAGTGATGAATGTATTTGTATCATTGTATGAAATACTCTAGCGCATCTAGCGCAGAGCTTGATTTAACTTGATAAAATTTCCTGCGTTTGTCTTGATTTAGCACACTCGATCGTTTTTATACAAAAAAAAATCACAAAAGTAAATAAAAAATACTCAAAAGTAAATATAAAATTACCAAAAGTAAATGGAAAAGAAAGTAAAAAAACTTCAAGTGCATATGTTGAATGAAAACAGTGCAAAAAGTAAATAATCTTATCTTTTTTGGTAAAAAGCTGATTAAACAATAATACACCTACGTGGGATTCGAACCCACATCCTTTGCACATTTGCACAATGCTCTACCAGTTGAGCTAGTAGGTTAACGTTATCATTCTTATCAATCTATTTAAATTAATAGTACCAATTGTACATAAGAAATCAGTCATGCACTCATGCATTCAAAGCAATGTAGTAGGCTAGTTTTTATAAAACATTCATAATAAAGAAAAATTACTCAAAAGTACACTAAACAATCTCAAGTAAATGAAAAAAACTATAAAGTAAATGTACTAGGGGTTTACCAATTTATTAGTCAACAACATGCAATCCTAGAGAAGCAACCTCATGGATCCACATTGCAAGATTACCACATTATATATTTCTAAAAAAGCATCGGTTACACCATCATATATATCTAAATGTAGATCATAAAAGAAATCAGCTAAGAACAATTATCCATGAGCAAGAAACTAAGGGGCCGTTTGGTTCGCACGGGGTAATCGGAATGGAATGAACAAAGGGAAAGAGAAGGAATGGAATGAAAATACCTAAAATTTGGGGTGTTGTTTGTTTTAAAAACAAAGGGAATGAGACCCACCTATCCCACCACCACACAACCACCACTAACATTCATTCTCTAACGTTCCAACCACCGAACCACCACCAAACCAGTCGCCGCACCTCCCTCACCCTTCGCCTCCCTTCTCCGGCCATCCCCGCCCCTCGCAAAACCTTCCACGACCCCGAAAAAACCCTAATCGAAAAAACCCTAGATTGACGAGGGGTTTAGGAAGTGGCGGAGGAATGCTGCGGGGAAGGGGACAGGCGGCGAGGCTCAGGGAAGGGTCGGCGATGGTGGTGGGAGGGCTGGGCGGCGGTTTTACGGGGATAGGGAGGGGTTTTGCGGGGGCTGTGGGATATTTTGCGGGGTAGGGGAGGGCGGCGAGGGTCGGGGGAGGGGCAGCGGTGGTCGGGGGAGGGGGGCGGTGGTCGGGGTAGTGTCGGCGGTGGTAAGGTGGGCTGGTTTCCGGTGGTGTTGGTAGGTGTGAAGGTGGTGATGTGGTGGTGTGAAGGTGGGTAGGGAATGGAATGGAAATACCTAGGGGGGGTGGGGAATGGAGTTAGAGGGATTTGGGGGAATGAAGGGGGTAAAGGGAATGAAAGAAAGTGCTTAACAAACAACAACAAAGGGAATCGAGGTGATTGATTCCCATTCCCTTTCCTGAATACCCCCAACCAAACGACCCCTAATAGTAGAGTGACTCTCTAAAGACAAGATTAACCAAACCTTTATTAAAACAAAGGTGAAGAGTGATGATTGTTACCTCATTAATGTAAGTCTCACGACCTTTCGTGGTTTTGTGGCACAATTTGAATGAAACGAGACATGTGTTACATTAGCGTGTACCCACTCACACAATACCACTTCGAACCTCCATAAAAGCACCAGTGCCTACCATAAGAAATGAAGTATCAAACTTATAAAATTAAAGAAATGAAACTTAAGTACTTAACATATTTCAGGGCTTAAATTATGTAGAATTGATGAGTTATTTACAAAAACTTGCATAATACCAACACAACCCATAGACTGTCAAAAATAAAATTAAAAATCAACAATCTAATAAATTTCCCCTGATGTGATTTCAGCAAGTATTATGAATTCCATTAGTCAAAGGCTCATAACACAATTACATTAGAGCCAGCAACTTAATGCACTTTTTACTCCATTTAGAACAAGCTATTAAAGAGCATGAAAAATAGTTCAGTCTATATAAACTCATGAACTTGAATTGCAATGTGACAAAATCATCTAGTAAAGTGTTGCTTAGCCTGACCATCAAAAAGACAACAATATACTAATTTAGAGACATCAAACATACCGTAGCATTGTCATTTTTATTACCGTAGCATATGCATAGAAAACTAAAAGAGTCCAGGACACATAGCATCTAATTGTAATATACTATTCTTTTTGGTATGAATGAAAGCTCGGTCTAGTTAGCCACACAATTATACATACCCTAGCAAGGATGCCCATCCCATACAAGTATACAACCACATAACTAACTACACACACCCTCGTAATGCCAAGCTCAAACAGCCACACAACTACACACACTCTTGTCTAGGATGCCTAGCAGTATAGAGGTAATAATCTAGGCTCAACAGCTCACAATTCATGCCCTATGAATGTTAGGTGAATTCAAAAGTAAATAGAAAAAACTCAAAAGTAAATCAAAATATCTTAAAAGCAATACCAAAACAACTATGCAAAACTAGTTACAATTTGGGCAAACAACTAGGCTAATCACAGTTGTTCAAATTAATTGTAATGTTGATTATCACACCTAAGCTAGCAACATAGCATAACATACATTCCATTAAGCTAGTCAGACATTTCATTGAACGCATAGTGTGCAATAGATTAAAGCAAATAAGAAATAAATTAACCAGAGATACAATAATTCCAATCGAATTCCTAGTTAATAAAATTGAATTTTATAATCTAGACAGTAAATCATGAAAGAACACAACAAAAATTGCAATTAAAATTACAGCACATGCAACAATCAAAATTCACAAATAAATCAAACAAAAACTAGCAAAAAACCCCCAAATTTCGACAACTTAATCTGATTATAAAATGCAAAAACTCTGATTGATCAAATAAAATTAAAAATAGCAAAAACCCTAAATTCAAACTCGAATTAATCGAAACCAAATTGAGCAAACTTAAACTGAAGCGAGCAATCATATAATTGCGGAATCATATAATTGTAAATTCCCTAATATTACAACTGGAATCACAAATACTCAAACAAATGATTTGGAAAATCCTAATTTCGCAATCAAAATCGCAAAATTGGATTAAAAAATGAATTAAATCAAAGAAAGTAATGTTAATTACAATAAAAAAATTTACCTCTCCAGAAACAACCGATAACAACAAATCGAAGAACTTAAATAAACTAATTTGAAGATTTTGATGCGCAATGTCGAAGAAGTGAAATCGTTGTAAATAATCGCCATAAAAGAGAAATAATATGAATTGAATAGAGAGAAAGAATTAAGAAAGAGAGAAAAAAAAAACTCAAGATACATTGTATTTACCAAACTGCCATTACTTAAGCCAAAACGCGTATGGCATCTCAACCGTCAGATCAAATGCAATCAAAGGCTCGGATTAGTTCCTAATTCCTATTATAGACGTAGGTTCTCACATGATCCTGATTCTATATATATATATATATATATATATGTATATGTGTGTGTATATATATATATATATCAGCTTTTAGTATATTAGCTCTACTTATTATTAAATATCATTTCTTATTTTACTTATTGCATATGTAATATTAATCAATATTATATATTATATGGTGTATAGTTTATGTATGTGTTATTTGCATTCTATAAGTGCACATGTGTCATTTTCCATACAAGAGCGACGGTAAGTATATTGTTTGATACAAAATAATAGTCTGCAATACATACAATATTTTTTATGCTAATTTGCTAATAGATTCCTGACAACAGTAGGAATTCATAACACACTACATTTTTAGTACATGTTGAAGCAAATGGTTATGGAGGCAATGCTGAAAAAAACGTAACATCTTCCCTTTTTTTTGCTCGCGAAAGGGCAACATATAGCTGTCCATGTGAGAAACAAGGGCGTGGTAAGTACACAAACACTTTGTTTGGTGTTTGCCCTTGTGATTTATTTATGAAAATTTTTAAATTACCACCCAAAAATGTAAACATTTTCGAACTAACCACCCGTTTAAATTTTTATTTTAAATTACCATCCCTTAAATTAAATAATTAATGCTCAGATTACCACCCATTTCAAAAATCCGGTGGATTTTTCATCTATGGGCTCCACCTAACGCTTATTTTGACCCTTTTGACGGATTTTTTCCCTGATTTTTCTCTTTAAAAATGCTCTCCTAACTTCAATTCACATTTTTCTCTTTGAAATTTAGTAGAATTTGGAGGAAATGTGAATTAAAGTTTAGAAAGCGTTTTTAAAGAAAAAAATTGGGGGAAAATCAGTCAAAAAGGTCAAAATAAGTGTTAAGTGAGGCCTACAAACGGAAAATCCACCTGATTTTTAAAATGGGTGGTAATCTGAGCATTAATTTAATTTAAGGGGTGGTAATTTAAAATAAAAAATTAATCGGGTGGTTAGTTCGAAAATTGTTACATTTTTGGGTGGTAATTTAAAAATTAACCTTTATTTATTGTCATAGCAAAACTTAATTTCAAAGGAAACTGTTTTCGCTCAATCTAGAATGGATATCTAGCTGAAGCAGAAGGCCGCAAACTGATACGTGGTATGAAAACATGATTCCCTTGATACTGTCCCACGACAATTATACAGTGCACTACATTTGGGAAAAATCCCTTGCATATAAGGCGTATCCCATTGCATAAACCAGCAAATGGAAGTAAATTCCGCAGCAAAATTACTGGATAATTTTTCTTAAGCACAAGTTTGTGAGGAATCAATCCACCTGGACAAAGTTTAATTTAAAACTCTATTGGATACAAGTCACAGGTATCATTTAACATTATATCAAAACTTTTATACACCACAGGTTCACTAGGAAATTGACTTATTTATAGAGTCAACATTATCATTCAAAGGGGTTAGAATAGCTCTTTCTGTGAACAAATTACTATCAACTTCAACAGTGTTGAATTCTGGAAAGACTGCCTTTGTTACTTGAGACACATGATTATCGCTAGTTGTAAAAGGGTTTGTTATATTCCCAGGTAATTCTACATATGCATTTTCAGACCTTTGTAGCTCACCATTTCCAAGTGCAAGTAAAAA